TAACTACTACTCTGGAAGAAAAATTGTTGGTTAAAGAACTCAAGCAGGAGTGGATGTTGACTCTACAGAAAAACGATTCTGCCATCGAGTTCCAAAAAAAAAACAAAAAACAACTCGCACTGAAAGTCACTAAAATTGAAATTCTTCACAAATAATCAATGTATGTAGAAGTTTCTAATCTAGGATTTGATTATGGTTGTGCACATCATTTGTATGATACAAATACAAGATCGAATGATATTGTAAACTATGTCTTTTCATCAGGGAGTAAATTAAAATTACAACTTGTGACCAATGTAAATAATTTATCTGTTCTAAAAGTTCACCATTTCACGATGGTTTTATAGAAATGCAAAACAAGTACACAAAGAAACAGCAAAAACCACTGATTTAACAGTGACAGAGCTTGGCATCCTGCCCTTGTCCCTCCTAAAGAAAAGACCATTGTACAATGGCAAGTTGATCAAAACCAGAACCCCACATAGAAGAAACTGCAAAGCGGTGGTTTCGTAAACAGATTTGAATTCCCCGATAACAATCACTTTCTTTAAAATCCCGAAGAGGCAGAACAGATTGATCATTGCCACCGATGATAAAATGATGAACATTGGTGAAGTGACTCCAAACTCCATCTTTTCTTGCTCGTATCTCTGTGTAACGTCTTGATCAGCCACTTTTGTTGAGATTACAAAACCTGAATTTGAATATCCCATCAATTTGAAGATGGTATCCATGACTGCAAACAGATAAGAGCTCGTTCTTTTGTAAAGCCACATTCTTTGCTCATTCCACCAGCTTAAAATTGTTCCGCCTGCCCTGAGAAATTCGATAATGCTATATATGTGCTCAGCTGCGATCACATACGAAAATGGAAGAAACCACAGGCTCGAGACCTGAATGTTGAGTAAAACTGTGATATTTTTTGACAAGAAGAAAATTTAAATTTCAGAGTGATGAGAGAGAACTAGAGAAAACATGCCTGGGGAAACAAGGAGATGCCTTTGAGCAGATAAAGAGAAGGGACAATGGAGTAATACAAAGTTGCGAAGCAATTAGGAGACCATAGGCAATAGTTGAAATATCCCATTATGAGCCCAAAATGGATTCTGCCTAGTCCATACCAAACTGGACTGTATTTCGAAAGGAAAATCTGTAAATCGCCCTCGGACCATCTCTTGTGTTGCACTAATGTCTGATCAAGGGTAGTTGCAGAAACGCCTAAGAAGCCTTTCCTTTCTGGATTGAAATAGATTGATTTCCATCCCCGACATTGAATTGACAGCCCCGTTATCACATCTTCTACCGGACAGCCATACTTTAGACCCATCTGCATAATATCAGAATATTTTCCACTGTAAAATTATACGTAAAACTCATATATATGAGAAGACGTGCTTAAGGAAAGATGGAAACCTCATTGCCCCACTGAGTGTTTTCTTCAAAAGTGCAGCTCGCGAGGCCTTTTATCCTTTCTTCCAATTCTTGAACACTTTCCCCTGTTTTGCTTGTAATATTTTTGTTCCAGTCGATAGTAAATCCCTTGGTATATTTTCTTCCACAAAGGGTGTCTCTTCTGTGAAAGCAGCCAGTTCCAATGTACATAGGCCCTCCATAACCATCCAAACCATGAAATTCCACCTTATATAACAAAATTCATAAGATAATAAGCATTTTTTTTTTTGTATATATAAAACATATATGAGTCAATAGAATGTTTATATGGTCATTTACTAACCTCACTGATCATTCTCAGGGTGCCTCCATATAAATCATTTTTAGTAATATTATGAAAATTCTGTGGAAACTGCACGAAAGCAGTCTCATGGCCCTTCTTTTCATCCATGAAGAAGCAGAGCACATCTCGAATTGCTTGTGAATTATTTGAGTACATATCACAATCTACATTTAGAATTATAGGTCCATTGCTGATCTCTGATGACACCCTTATCTGCCATATATTACAAGAGTAGATATATCATGTAATGAAACTTTCTTGCGTTGAAAAAAAGTGATTTTGGTTCAAGGGGCAGTAGCATCGTAAATCAAAAGGAGAGTGGGATGCAAAATGAGAATAAATTTTCTCTAAAAGGCAGAAATAATCAGAAGTTGTTCAGAGAATGTGAAAGTGTCTTTTTCTCTATAAATTTGATTTGATTAGTATGTTTCTGCTGATTTTTGTAAACATGGCAGGTACTTACCAATGCATTCATGGCTCCAGCTTTGAAGTTATGGAAATGCTGTGGTCGCTTCTCGCGAGCCAAATACACCAAAGTTG